TTGGTACCAGGGATTGAATTTGGGACTTTGTGCTTGCGAGGCAGGCGGCAGCAGCACTGAGCTAAATCCCCAGCTCTGTTTTCCATTTTAAAAACTATAGGCATCCTAGTAGGTATAGTGTTACAGCGCTTATCTAGCTGTCTCCTAAAGCCTCAGTCACTCATAGGTGGGGTTTTTGGCAGTGGCTGGGTCCTAGGCCTGTGATGCTGGACCATGGGTGTGATACTGGATTAGTGCACTGATTGGCTTAGCATGGCTCTGGGTGTGGATGACAGACTTACTGAAGAGGGAAGCCCCATTCTGGGTATGGGTGGCATCGACCGATAGATAGGCTTGCAGCCTGGATGGAATAGGAAGGGAAGGAGAAAGAGGGCTCGCTGTCTCCTACCTGCCCTGCCAGGGACTGTTTCTCCTCTGGCTGACAACTGCAGTGGAGCCAGCGTCTATGAACTGAAACCTCTACAAACTGAGCTGGAATAAATCTTCCCTCCTTCAACTCTGGTCTGTTATGTGTTCAGGCACTAAGTGACCAAGACTAAGTGGAGTCCTAACCCTAGGAGAAGGAGCCCGGGTGCGGGATGCTGGAGGTCGGGGGCTCTGCTGCCATCTCCCCCAGAATCACACCCACTGGGCTCCGGGCCGCAGCCCAGTGCCAGCTGGGCTGAGCTCTGCCCCTGCACCCTGCTTCTTTTCAAGGCCTCAGCAACCACAGGAATGTTAACCCCTGCTTGTTTCTGATGCCCAGTCACACTGTCACTCTGAAGCAGGCCTGCACCCAGCAAGGTGCCTGGCACACCTCTGGGCAGATGGGTGAGGCCCTCATTTCACACCAAGTGACTGTATGTGTGTGTGAGTGTCCATGCACACTAACCGGGGGTTGAACCCAGGAACCTTTCCCTGAGCTGCATCCCCAACCCTTTTATATTTTGACACTAAGTCACTAAGTTGCTCCGGCTGGGCTCAAACTTGCAACCCTCCTGCTTCAGCCTCCCAGAGTGCTGGGGTTACAGGTATGCGCCACCATGCCTGACTTCCTGTGTAAATTTCTGTGTGAACATACACTATCCTCAGGCAGGGCCAGGGATGTAGCTGTGTGGCAGAGTGAGGCTCTCAGTTTGATTCTCAACACTGCAAAACCAAATCGACCAGGCTGTGGTGACACACACCTGTAATCTCAGCACTTGGGAGGCTGAGGCAGGAGGATCACTGAGAATTGGAGGCCATCCTAGGGTACATAGTGAGTTCGAGGCCAGCGACATTTTACCTCAGGAGGCCCTGCAGACTGTTTCTGCAGCGGTTATTCTTTAACAGCCCCTACCAGTATTCAAGAGTTCCGGTTTTCTTTTTCTTTTTTGGTACCAGAGATTGAACTCGGGACCTTGTGCTTCCAAGGCAGGCAGTGGAACCACTTGAGCTAAATCCCCAGCCCCTCATGCGGTCTTAACAGCTGCGGACACATCATCTCAAGCACTGCTGAGGAAGTGGC